CGACTTTTAGCTGAGCTCAATCCTTCAGGACAATAGCGAGTCTCCGGAGGATACACTTTGGGCAACGGATGTTTTCTATGTTTTGTCTACGAATTAATACATAAGACGTCATTAACTCAGTTGCCTTGTCTTCACAAGAAAGTAGTTTAACCAAGTGGTCAGCTTCGCCGTTTTCTTTTGATCGGATTGTACTAACCACTGTACCTCACCTGGTGCCTTTGCTTTTCTCACTCTGCACCCTCGCACTGCAGTCGCTCAGCTCCCCTAATTCCACAGCCCATCTCGTCGATACACTCAAGTAATTCGGCTGGTGACCTCTATGCCGGCCCCATCGCTAACAGTAAGGTTCCCCCATTTGCCACCACTACCTCCACCTCCTCCTCCTCCTCTTGGCACAGCAACAATCCAGGCCTCAAGGCATTCGATCCCATCTCCTCATCTTCGGGCTGTTCTACAACACCGGCTGGTCACAACAACAATGGGACGCCTGCCAATACCGGTGGCTTCTCTGCACGAACTCTTGCCTCCATATTCGAGTAAGTGAGCGGTAATGCCGAAGCACACCGTCTTCCGCTTTGATCTGCCTCTGTCTGGTACTCATTTGTCATCTCCCACCTCCATGGGTTTTTATTCTTCTCATATCTCTCATGTCATTAGAAAACGACTTCGCAAAAGGGTTTCTCACACTTCTTGGCATGAGAAAGGAGAAGGAATAAACGATCCTGCCTTTTGATTTATTATTTAGAGCGACGCATCCCCACCGCTTTACCAATATGCTCCCGTCCAGTGTTTGCATGGATGATGGCGCTCTCTGATGACTTTATATGGATGTGGGGATACCTACTTCAATTATTAGCGGTGCACACCTTTCAACTGCATACCTAGATTGTTGATCTAACCACTAAGTAGACACCGAAGGTATAAAAACCTTAGGCATCTCTATATCCTTCCACTACTCGCTGCTGTTGGTCAGGTTTCTAGCACACATTGCTGTTAACTATAGTTTTGTTTGAAACTCAATAGCAGTTGAATTTGCTACTACGTTGTTTTATTTTCTTCTCGTCCTAGAAGTCGCCAGCCAACACAATCCGGTCCGCCAATACCACCCCGACCGTAGGTTTTTTTTGGTTGCTAGCCTGATTTTATGAGTGGGAGATCTCTTCACATGATTGTGCTCTCTCTCTTGCGGGGTGTCTAGGAACTGAAATTCTTTCAATGCTCGTGCGCACCCTTCCA